TTTGAGGAATTGGTATTGACTCATAGTGATTCTTTTTTATTGGTGGGATCTTCATTGGGTAGTCCTCAGGGTGTGATGTACTGTGGGGACATCACAACCCTCCTTTGGGATGTGCCAGGTCTGGGAAATGGCGCAGCGGGAGGCCGCTGGGGTTAGTGGTCTGGTGTAAACCTGGAACTGGTTCCCTTCTTTGTTGAAGAGAGCCTCTATGGAAGGCACTACGGCAGACAGATCGACATCCATGTGAAAGCCTGCAAACTCATGTTTCTTCCTGTTTCAGATTTCCACTCTTCTCAACAAGGTCTGATGTCCTGGTAGCGCGGTCAGCAATTAGGAGAAAAGTGGGAAAGAGTAAGGAAACTTGGCAATTCCCCTGTACGCTCTGTAGCTCTCGAATGGTTCCTAGGGACCCTGAGTCTTTATCAAGCTAGTTATGAAATGGTTGTCTGCATTACCAAGTCTTGTAGCTGACTCCTCTGCCCTCTACCCAAGCATGGCAGGAACATACATCTTTTTAAGTTGTTACTTGTTTAAAACTGTATTAATAGATTAAAAATAAGATATTTTGAATTAAAATTTATGTTGATTTAATGTTTAATTCATGCTTACTGAGCATCATAGTAATTATAGCCCTTAAGAAAAAAGTTGTATATGCATAGACAGACTCAATTCAAATGGGCTAAAATGTAGAACAATGGGAAAGTCACAAATAGAAACATATTTAGTGCCACAACACAAGGCATAGCATTTGATATATAGCATAAAATCACATTTAATGTATGAGTTTGGTAGCAAACAAGATAATTTTCAGCTGGGCAGAATCAAAGATGGCTTTATTAGAGCTTGGCTGACCTGTCAAGTGACATCGATTTCACAGTTTTCCAGATGGCAGGTTGGTTTTGGATGCCCTGTGCATGCAGACATCCACAGCGTTTTAATTAGGTACTTTGGGTATTTACATCTCTGAGGGGAAGAACTCTTTTGTGTTTTCAAGGTTCAAGACAGAGGAAAGCACAAGGATTCCTTACGTTTTATTGCAATATGATCTTTTACAAATCTCTTTCAGAGACCAGTTTCTTGTGTTCAAGGTCTTAGAACATTTGGGGAGGGGGCTGAAGAGGGGTGGTTTTGGTTACAATCAGGAAGTTTTGACGATGTTTATTTGTTTGCAGAGTTTGGGTATCCTAGAGCTTTTCGAGGTGAGACCAGAGACTTGGAGGACTGTGGCCAGAGTTATGAAGTTGGTGAGGACCAGTGAGAATAACAAAAGAAGAGAGGACCTGGCTATCATAGATTTGGAAGCCTTTAGAAGCATGGAAACATTATCAGGAATAGAAAATTGTGAGGAGATGTGGTAACCAAGACTAGAGTGATGGAAAGAAAGAGTGTTCTCAAACTATGGGAGAACTGACATCTGCTAAAAAGCAATCAGGAACCATGCTGATGGTACAGGTGCACTAGGATGGCAGCCTGAACTGGGGCGGTGGGCACAGCAGTGAAAAGAGGTAGTAGAATTTGGTATATATTTTGAAAGTACCTTTGAAGGACTTTTTAATTTCATACACTAATATGAAAATAAAATGCAAGAATGACATCAGATTTTCTGAATTGAATGGCAGAATGAGTGAGCAAAATAACTTCTGGCATAATGCAGAGGAGAAATGGTTTGGGGTGTCCTCTACTTTTGGAGAGGACCTGCTTTGTGAGATGTGGCTTTGGATGATAAAGCCAGTATGTGACACTAGGGTTAAGTGAAGAGGAGGGAAGCTGTAAATTGTGGGCCTCTCTCTCTATGGAACCATGCCGCTCTGAGGCTACGGACACTGCTTAGTTTCTGGTGCCTTACAAAGCTAAACTCTGCACAGGTGAGTGCTGGGTGAGATGCTTGTAGAGCCCCACCCTCAAGTACAGCAGAAGGCTAGGGAGATGGTTTCTCTGGGATGAAGTACAGGCTGGATTCTTAGTTTCTTTTCCTGGGTATGTGGAGATAACTGAGAATACTATGTATTATGTTCTGTCTCCTTGGAGGCATCAACATATCCTAAAAGTGCCAAAGGAACAGCCTTGTAATGTCTCTAGAGCTACACTTAAAAGAGTTAAAAGAGCAATTTTAGAAAGCTCTCCCAGCTATCTTTGTTTGTTTGAAGGACATACCAAGGCCATCATGCCTAGCCCAGATTTAGAATAAATCACCCTCACCTGCCATGGCCGGCATTAACTGCTGTCTAACCATCTTCTCTTAAAGTGATTTTTCTGTTGGAATTCTTGAAGGAATTTTCTGTTATTGTTATTTTTTTCCCAGTATCGAATTCCAGGGTGTGCACACTAGGGAAGCTGCAGAAGAAACTCTTAGGGACACACAGGAATGCCACAAAAAAAGCACCCGACACTTGCCTGGCTTTTTCTCCTTTCCTCCACCATCCTTAGATTCGGCTAGTGGTATGTGAAGGGTTTATACTTTATAGATAAACAGCCCATGTGTTGAAGGATGTATGCAGGGAGCATTATGTTTAATCTGCTATGTTATGTTTAGCCTTATCCTTATTTCTATAAGTTAAGAATGGTTTCATATACTTTTCAACATTCACTTGATAAAACTTGATTTTTTAAAAAACTAGGTTGATGCACATCAGCTTCTGGTGACCATCAGAGCTGTGGTGTCCTTCCTCAGCCATTCTTTATGTGTCTCTTTCCTCTCTTCCATTTGGGTGTTGGCAGTTCCTCTTTCCATGTCTTTCATTACTCCACACTTTTACAGCAGAGGTCAGAATTTACAGTTTCTACTGCCCCTTGAAGACTCTGTAGGTAAAGCAAAGACCCTGAACAAGCTTTTTGGGGGTGGAGGAGGGAAATTTACCTGTGATTTTAATGAAGATGGGAAGCAATGCTTCCTTCAGATTTTACGTGGTTAGCCATATTAAGGAAACGGACTTTTCTGTTATTCAGTTATTGGATTTTTTTTTCCACAGAAACCAGCAACCAAAAGGATGCACCTAGGTGCTGTTTTACTGCATCCCTATCCACACAAGCTCTGCTTCATTTTGTCCTTTAAAAACATATTTTGTCATATCTCATAGAGATTTATTAGCAATACATTGCATTACTTGGCATTGTATATAAATTTTGTGTCCCTTTAAGAATTTATGATCTAGGCTTCTGATTATATTAATTCTTATGAAAACTCTAAGAGTGGGATAATATATAGATGTGTGCAGTGCAATTTTGACAGGTGAAGACCCAAACAACACTGATCTACAATCCCATTTCCTCAGCGTGCTAAGTTCCTGGGGCCTGCAAGGATTATTTTAAAGCCGTGTTTGCTGCTGGCCACTCTGCTACCAAAAATAAACCGGTCTGAGGGGGAATTAAGGGTGAGAGGACATTCCTGGAAGCTGTTTCATCTGAGGCCATTTGTGACAAAGCATTCTTGATTTTTTTTCTGTTTTTGCAACTTCATCCACATCACACTGATATATGTCAAAAGACCCTGATCTTTTCTCTCTTTCTCTTTTGTAAAAGGCAAATATACTTCCTACTGCCAAATGTGTAACTGAAAAACTTAAGCTGATGTTTTGTCTCAACCATTTCGAAATCTGTTAACTGGAGTTAGAGACACCCAACAAACCACATACTACAGAACTATTTTTAAGAGAATGAAGAGAGGATTGGGAGTGAATTCAGGCACCACCCCACTCCCCCCCCACACACATGCTCTGGTGCCAGAGCCCCTGCCCCAAAAGCTGAAGTTAGTCTCAAAATTCCTTTTACAGGCTGGTGACCTTGAGCTATGTGGTGGTTTGCCTATCTGACCCTGGGTCTTCAGCTGTGAAGTTAGCCAAAGTGAAATGTCTCCGGGGCCAGTTGCTTGTGTCAAAGTCATTAAAGTGCCACATCCATGAAAAGTCACAATTGATTTGCATAAACAGACACCTTTCGGGGTATAAATCCAATGAGTTAAGAATTCAGACTGCCAGATTTGAAACACACTCTGCCAGAGTACAGGAGCACAGATTTCTGTTCAGTACCCTACCAGAAGGCGGGAAAAGGGGTTAGGGGGGAAATGTTCACAAAGGAACCAGGCCTGAGGAGTTAGAGAAACTGGACTCACACAGAGTCAAACAGAGGTTCAAGGTTGTAGCCCCTTCTCCTGGGAAGGAGGCAGCATCATTACTTAAGGTATGAAGGAGACCCAATGGTGCATTTCTACGGGATGTGACCCTCCAACCTCTGAGACATCTGGAAAATTTACAAACCCAGGGTGCATACTGCAGGGGACATGGGCACTGAAGGATTCAAGGGGGGGAAATGAAACAGTGAGATGATAAAGGTTCCAGAGGCTTCTGCTTGAAGAATCTTGGGATGCAGAGTCCTCTGAAGGGGAAAGGATTGCGATCTCCCAAATAACAGTGGATCAGCCCCCAGGAGTCTTTTCCCGCGTGCCTCTGTTCAAAGGGTCCTTACACTACAGGGTTACCTGCCTCTCCCTCACCCCTACTCCCACGCGCGTCTCCGCTTGACTCATCGCGCCCCCACCCGGCCGGTGTCACTGAACCCCCCCCCCCCGACCCACCCAGCAACGGTTTTTGGATCAGCAACTTCCGACCCCTCCCCCTTTTACTAGCTCACGGGAGCCGCAGTGCCTCGCGCTTCTAAGAGGGGCAATCCGCCCCGGAATCGACGTGAAAGACCAGGGGCGGGGTTGGTGGAAGCAGTCCGGGGATCCCCCAGTTCCAGCCGGGTCCTCTCTGAACCCTACACTTCCCTCTCACGCACGACTCGCACCCTCCTCCCCAGTCCCGCGCCTGTTCCCTCCCAGCCTCCCTGCGCATCTCCGCGCTCCCTCCCTCCCCCCACCCACCCTTCGCGCGCCTGGCACGCGCAGCCGAACTCTACGCCGCCTCCATCAGAGCCGAGCCGGCGGCTCAGCCCAACAGCCGCTTCTGCCGCCGCTGCCGCGCTGGTCCTCCGTGTCCCCTCCCGGTTCTTCCCTCCCAGTCCCGGTGCCCTGGTCCCCCTTCCTGCTCTCCTTCCTCCTCCCTCTCCGGCCTCCCCTAGCTCTCGCTCTCTGGCTGCAGTCCTTGTTCGGCCCGCCACAGGGCGGGCAGGAGGGCGGAGGCGGCTCCACCATGAGCGACGAGGGCAGCAATCGGTGTAGCCGGGTGGACCATCGGGAAGCCCAGCCGCCCCTGCCTCCGCCGCCTCCGACCCCGCCACCGGGAGAGCCGGCCCTGGTCCCCACCTCCCCACGCTACCGGCCGCCTCTGCCCGCTCCTCCAGAGCGCACCGCGGGGTCAGGCGAGCCGCCGCTAGAGGTGGCCCCGCGGCGCAAGGGTGCGGATGAGCGGCTGCCGCCGTCTCGGTTGCCCCGCGAGCAGGAGGTGTCAGCGGCCGGCGACTCTTGCGAAGGTCGGAGGCACCTTCCTGAGGTGGCGGTCCCCGAGAAAACGGCGGAGAAAGGCGGCTCGGGGGAGCCCGAGGCCGGCGCGTGTGGGGAGGGCGAGCGGCGCGGCACGGGAGACCAGCCCGAAACACGCTCCGTGTGCAGCAGCCACAGCAGCAGCAGCGGCGGCGGTGGAGACCAACGCTCGGGGCATCATCACCAGCACCATCAGCCCATTTGCAAGATCTGCTTCCAAGGCGCTGAGCAGGTAAGGCCAGAGGGACCCCAGGTCTGCCGGCTGTCAGCCTTTTCAGCACCGCGGACAGCGCACGCCTCTTAGCAGCTTCTTATACTCCAGTCCTCCACCAGATAAAGTGTCCTGGTGGCCAATAGAGAAGTAAATTTAACCTACACTTTTCCCTCTACTGATTTTGCAGTCGATTACGCTTCAGGTGCTATAATGGTAACACCATTAAGCGTTTCCTGTGAATTACTCAAAGCATTTTAGTTTGCAAGTAGAAGCAAATCTATAGGACGCAAAAGCAAAGTCTGTTTTTTTTTTTTTTAATTAATGTATCCAGAGGGCATAGTCTTAGACTACAAACGAAGGGAGGGTGGGGGTAATAAGTCATGCTACAATACCAAATTATTAATTATTGCAAAAAATTACTGCAAATTATTAATGCTAAAGGCGCTACAGTTCTGCAGAAAGAAGCACTTTAAGAGAAAAGCCAGTTGATGGACTTGATGCATTGCTAGAAACACATTTCAGAAATTATAAACACCATGAGAGGCACATGCAAACTTTCATGAGAATCATCAAACAGGGTAAAAGATAATGTATTGCCCTTCCAAAGTGTGTGAAAACACCAGGTTTGATATCTTTAAAAGTAAGGAAGTTGCATAAGAATATGCAGGCTTTCAGAAATATAATGTCCCAAGTCAATATTTATGATGCTGCATTTAGAAAAAGTAAAAGCATAATGCTACTGTGAGCTGCTTTCTGCCATGCATTTCTTCTCCAGCGATGATTAAGAATAACTGCAGAGGAAATGCATCTGACCATCCACTTAAAAGTTATTAAAGAGATTTAATAGTAGAGCTTTCTCCCAAGGGTATTGGGGGCTATGTCTTGCAGACATTTTGTATGTCAGTGGAACATTTATGTCATGACTCTAAGCACTATCTCGGAAATAGTTTTTTTTTTTTAAGACTTTAGTATCATTCCCATCAGACATATAAAAATTTAATTTGGTTTTCTGGGATAGAGCTTGATGCTCATATCCATCTGGGCAAACTGTTTAGAAGGGAAAGAAAGAGAGCTTAGGGTTTTTAAGTGGAGGCAGGAACAGGAATATTCACAGTGAGCTGTTTTCTTTCCAGGGTGAATTGCTAAACCCCTGCCGATGTGACGGGTCTGTGCGGTACACACACCAGCTGTGTCTTCTGAAGTGGATCAGCGAGAGGGGCTCCTGGACCTGTGAGCTGTGCTGCTATAGGTACCACGTCACAGCCATTAAGATGAAGCAACCTTGCCAGGTAGAAACGGCGCTTGCTTTTCCAGGCATGCTCTTGTTAACGTGGGTGCACTTGACTTTTATTTTTGCTTAAGCAATCCTCTTAATGCTACTTAGGAATATTTAATGCACACTGAAGTAAGCCCAAGATTTAGAATTTGTAGTACACGCTTAGAGAAAGCTGTGACATTCTGTCTGAAAAATGCAGAGGACATTTTAACCAAATAATAACCTTCATAATTTGTTATTTACTAATCAAGTTATAGCTAGTTCCATTTCTTAAAGAGTATGGTGGTAAAATGTCACAGAATCTACTTGAGTTTGGTTTAGTAATTAGAGATGTTATACAGCTTATTAAGCAGACATTTTTACATTTATTTAAACTATGCCAAGCTCAGTTTATGGAAAATAGATGCGAATAAAGTAGCTACTTACTAGGCCAGAAACTTACAGGTGACTCTGTCAGCTCAACTCTTGTATTCTTCATACTTAAGCTTCTGTTTTGTATGAGTTAATTTTTTCCATATTAATTCTTAGTGGCTTCAGTTACATAGTGGATGCAGACATGTTCCCTGCAGCTAGCTCAATAACACTGCTGAAATTGTACATAGTTTCAAAGTTTTGTTTAAAAATCACACAGTGACACAGTATCATAGGCATACGAATGCCAACAATAGGCTTCTTTCTCCAGTTCCCCTTATTTTTCTTGGCAGAAATGACTCAAGTTCTTTGACTAGGTTGATGAAGTCTAAAATGCAGAATATTAAGAATGATATCCTAGAACAAGGTGGGGAAAGGTGTAGCAGAGATCTGGCAGGGAAATTCAGCACGAGGGATTCAACAGTCATGAAAGAGGCAGTGGGTGAGTGGAGAAGGGAACATGATGGAACCTAGCGTCCCTTGTTTGTATCTAAACTACCAAATCCATCTTACATTGAGCTAAATAACATGCATGGCACTGTAGCATTTCTGAAGGAACCCAGAATGTGAATTGTTATTACACTACTAATTTAAATTTCTTAGTATTTAGTTGGTACCTTATTTATTATGCAGTGACTTTGCATCTCTGAGAGTTGCATTTAAGGCATGATTAGCAATCACAAAATGAAAAGGGGGATTTCTCCCCTGCAGGCTTACAAGTTACTTGTAAAAGGGGAGCTACTTTAATGAGAGGTATGGCCGCACTGCAGTCAGTCACAGACCTGGCACCTCTTCCAGAACTTTTGACTGTGCATGAGTTAATGAACCTACATATGCTGCCCTGAAAAACAGCTGGAGCTGTGCCCAAAAGTCATGGCATGGTTGACATCGTTGTGTCTGTGATAAGTAGAATCCACGAGAGTATGACATAGGAGTTTTATCCTCAGTAGTGAGCCCAGTAAGACGGTGTGTGGAGCTACAGTGGAACACTAGATATTTCAAAAACTTTAATTGAGAGATACTATATATTCATTTCTTTGAGCATTAATTTTGCAGTACATAGAAATAGGCTCTTTATGACCACTGAACGGAGTTAAAAGTCTAGGGCAAATAATGCTCTTATAGTCATTATGATCTGAGAGGGAAAGGAATTCATGCCTTTTGCTTTATTAAAAATATAGTATTCTGAAGGCGGTTGTGGCACATGTCTTTAGTCCCAGCACTCAGGAGGCAGAGGCAGGCATATCTCTGTGAGTTTGAGGCCAGCCTGGTCTATAAGAGCTTGTTCTAGGACAGGCCCTAAAACTACAGTGAAACCCTGTCTCGAGAAACCAAAAAAAAAAAAAAAAAGAATTTAACAAAAGCCGTTTCCCATTTTCCCTTCAAAAAATCAAAATCCCCCAAGTTAATCAACATTACTAATGTATTTAAGATTAGTTTTATGGTGATACATATACATTTATGTTTGTATATACATATACACATACATACACTTATAGATATGATTTGTGTCATTACCTGATTATTACACTGAGATGGAAAGTAGTGTTTAGAAAGAGGTTCATATGAATGATATGCTAGCATGTTGTTGCATGAAAGAACCTTACATAACTATACTCCATACATAAAAATCTTGGTGCTCATTTTTTAAGGTGCTAGGGATTGAACTTTGACCCTCACACATATGATGCAAATATTCTAAAACACTGAGCTGTACTCCAAATCTAAGTTTGCTACCCTTACCTAACAAAAATTGGTCATAAGACCTCAAAGAATGGACTTTCAATGCCCAGATGAAGAGGTAGAGTTTGGTTCTCAGTTCTTTTTATTGTGGATGCCCCACAACCTGAGCCTTCACCCTGACTCCTAATGTGAAGACCCTGAGAGTTGTCAGGCATCACTCCCATGTTCCTGTGGCCTGATAGAAAGCCACCTCCTCCAGGGCAGAATCCAACAGGAAGCATTGCAAGGTTCTCCCTCGCCTGTCTATCTCTGTCTCCTAAGAGTAGGGTCATCTCATGGCTCTGAGCAGGCAGCTCACAGGATGAGAACAGAGTAGAGAATAAACAATAACAGTGAGTGGGAACATTTACTGAGCCGTTAGTCTGTGCCAGCCCCTCTTCTAAATGCCTTACACACAGAGGCTATGATATTTAGTCTTTATAACATATTAGTAATTTGAGCAATGCTGTTATCTCTACATTACTCAATGTGAAACTGGAACACAGCCAGTCTCTCCTCGGGTATATCAGGATTCTAACTCAATCTGGCTTCAGGGTCCATGGTCTTTACTACTGTGTTGGAAAGTTCCTCTCAGTCTTCTGCTAGCTAGTCTTAATTTTCATGGTCTTTTGAAGCAGGAGCTGGTTTTAACACAGATCTCTAGGAAGGATTAGAAAATCTTTTGCTTTCTAAATTCTTAGTGATTTAAACAGTCACTATAACCTATTATCTCACAGGAGTCTGTGTATTGACTGAGGTCAGCTAGTGAGGTTTTTGTGCACAAAGAATTACCTAAAACTGTAATCCAAAGGCTTGGCCTTGTAAGAGCATCCTGGATAACTTTGCCATTTGACTTGTTCTTGGTGTTGATTGGGGTTCAGTCTGGAGATACTCACTGACTCCCCAGTTCTCCTCCCCCATCTTGTGCTTCCAGCACTGTCGCATCTGGTTTTGAGGAGGAAGCACGTGAGCATTACTAATCTATAAGGCTCAACCTTGGAAATGACATGATTTCACATCTGCTGCATTCTCTGGTCTAAAGCAAATCTAGTCTGACTCTGATTCAAGAGAAGGGCAAACCGACTCCACTTCTTGGAGTCAGACATTTTTAAGAGAGAGACCATCTCTGCAGGAAAAAATGTGCAGTGTGGCCAGGAGTCTGTGTACTGCACAGGAGTCTGTGCAGCCTTCCCACCCTGATTTCTCTATCTGATCTTCATCAGGTCCATGTGGACCAGCAGGCCTTGTTCAAACTTCTTCACTGGGAGCTCTGAGCTGAAGGAGGCTATCAGTGCGTGGAAGTTTGATTCGCCCTTGGTGTTTTGACGTCATTAAGCTTTTTCCGGGAGTGTTTGTTACCATCATGTCATCATGTCCTGGATGTTCACGGAGAGACAGGGACAGTGATTGCCAGGAAACAGGCACGTGTGAGCACAACATGCCACAGAGTGCCTGACACTTGAGATTTATTTATTTATTTGTTTGTTTATTTATTTATCTATCTATCTCATCAGGATACAAATTCTCCCACTCGTTTGCTTTATGTTTCAGTTACGCTCAGTGGTAGTACCTAGGAGAAACTGAGCAGACACATTTACACCTTAATTGTTGCATCATTAGCAATAGGAGTTAATTAAGACATTTGATGTGATTAAAATGTATTTTGCCCTCCTCCTTACTTACAGAATCTAGTTATTATTACACCCAAGATGATACATTAATGATATTTTAAAAGTAAAGGCTAATGCTATTTTGAATCACATAATTATGTCTGAAAATTGAGATGCATGAGTATATAAGATCACCTTTACTTCCAGTCGTTGGTGACATTACAAACTGATGAAGTCATGTTGTAGCTTATGAGTGCTGTCGGTGATATGAGTCTTTGAGGGGATAACATTTAAGAGGTAACCATGGGTAAAACTCAGACTGAAGTGCCTCCATAAAAAATAGAAAAGCATACATACATGAGAAGTCCTAACAATATTATTGCATGTATGAGTTAACTTATATGTAATAGTTTTTACCTTTATTTGCTCAGTGTTTGTGTGCATTTGTCTGTGCATGTGTATTTGTATATGTGTATGTATGTGTGTGTGCGTGCATATATGCCATGCTCTTCTTGTGGCAGTTAGAGGACAGATCCCTTGTGGCAGTTGGTTCTCTTCTTATGTTATGTGAGTTTCAAAGATCAAACTTGGGTCATCGGGCTTGGTAGCAGATGCCTTTACCTCTGAGCCATTTCTCCAGTAATGACTTATCTTCAAAAGGAAGCACATGATGACACCTATTCCATATGTTATTTTGTACATTAGCTTCATAAATACAAGAGACATGCTAAGAATAGCTGCGCTTTCTCCTTGTCTGTCATCATTATTGCTTGTCCAGCCCGTTAAGTGATGGGGGTTTTGGTCTCCTTTGACAAGAGGTGCTTCTTGTTGCCTGTCTATTGTCACTAAACTGATGATGCTATCTTTCCATATAACCCTCTAAGTTTTATTTCTAACTAGTGAATACTAACTGTATAAGCTTACAGGCTACAAAAAGATGCTTCATTGTGGAATGATTAAATATGGCTAGTTGATGTATTCACCACACAAAATATTTAACAAATTTTGCGGTCAGATTATCTAAAACACGATATCTTAGCTCTTTTGAAATACAAGAGAACGTTGTTGCTGACAACATGGGGAGCCAGAATTTACTCTCTGCATCTAACTACAATTTCATACCCAGTGACCACCGTCTCCTCTTTCCCATACTCCAACCCCACCTCATCTTCTGATAATTGCCATTCTACTGGAAAAAATCATCGATATTTTGTGGATTCCACGTATAAGTGAAGCCATATGGTATTTATCACCCAATTCCAGGCTTACT